TTGGACCTTTCTGAACATGTGCAGCAAATGGACTGATCCAATATGGTGGACACTGAAGGGGGGGAGGGGGGGTAACTATGCAGGTAAACAGAGTTTTATGGGGCCCCCAGGAATTTGGGTCCCTAGGCAACTGCCTAGTATTGCCTAATGGTAAATCCCCTCCTGTGTGAGCTTCTGAACTTTGGGGGCTTTTGCTGGGATTTAAACCAAACTAGAAACTTTAAGAATAATCCTTTAAAAGGTCAAACTAGAAATGAACATCTTAGAAATATTCCGCCCAATTTCCTCCCTTTTGAATAGATCAAAACCACAATAGGTTCCCTTTTTCTATCTGTGCCCAGGACCCTTCCATAACCACCCCGCAAGCCTTTGCCTCCCTCCACCTGCCATACAGCCTCTGGCCATGACTCGCTCCTTCTTGGGGAATCGACCAAACTGCTTAGATCAGAACCTTTACAGTGTCTGAACATGATCCTGGTCAATAACTCCGTTCACCGTTTCCTCCACTGTTTCCCCTCCCGCTTTCTACAACACTTTTTCTATGAACTACAAGATTCTCTTGAAAAGAACCATTTAGACCTTGATATTTGCCTTCTGTGAATTGTTTTGCTTTTGAAGCCAAATGATGGCAACAAATGATGCTCTTTTAATGAATTATTTACTTGTGCAAATTTTCAGTCAGAAACGGGCTTAAATCTGCAGCAGCTTTCGCTCACTTTTTCTGGAAACGTTTCAACACCTGCCCAGGAGTGTTTGTTAACTCTGGTGGCTCAGACTAGAACATCCTGATGTTTTCAAGCACTTGGAGGCTGATCGTCCCATTTGTGTCCTTGAGTCAGACCTGTTCCTGGTGCATGTTGGACTCAGGCAGGGCTGCCCTGTGTTACCCGTCCTGTTCATAACTTTTCTGCAGGTCTGAGTCTTCAAGTGGAGAAGTTTCTTGGTATCCAGTTCATGGATGAAGGGAGGATGTAAATCTACAGACTGATTGGTGTGGCTGCTGTTATAGTGCATCTGCTGCAGCAGTCTTTGTGGTGAAGAGGGAGCTGACGCTTTACGGTCAATCTCTATTCCTACCCTCATGGTCATAACATCTTGGTCATGACCGATGGAACCAGATCCAGCATACAAGCGGCAAAATGGCAATGGAACAAATCTGGCCTTCCCCAGAGAAACTACAGGAGACATCTGGGAAAAGGGAAGTCTGATTGTTGAGATAAGCGAAAGACAGAAATAAAATGGTAAATGGTAAATGGCATGTACTTATATAGCGCC